AGATGCGCGTTAAATATCGCATGCGATTTATAGTGCAGCCCTAATATTAATATTCAGTTCTTAACCAAACATTAAAAATTGTCTCTGGCGTACTTTTTATTTTTATACAGTGTTTATGTAGTTTAAGGCTCAACTTATCTTATTCCAAACCTCCATAACATTTCCTGATGGATTCTAACGGATAGTTGCAAAATCAGAAAGCAGCTTGTCTATTAATGTCTTCCTGTATGTTTGTTTTTCCTTTCTGTTGTGTCACCACACTTATTAGTAGTAGTTGTTGCAACACATTGTCAACTCTCCCAACATTTTCTGTCTCTGTTGTTCCTCATAGTCATGGCTGAGGATGTATGGCTACCTGTCCCAGGCTAGCAGACAAATGTCCACCATGCAATCAGCCCAGATCCTTTCTAGTGCCATTAAGGACATGCAGCGCTTCTATGGCCTGGAGGTGACTGGACACATGGACTTGGCCACTCTTAAGTATGATTTCCTCTTCTTCAACTGCCTGTGGAACAATAAGATTATCTTAGTCTGTTTCGATTGTGTGTAACTGAGAAAATATAAACTGTGAAACAGTGTAAGTAGGTCATGTAGCTTATCCTTACCACTCATGACTTAATAAAATTAGTATTTTTAACAACAAGAATAATTTTATTATTTTCATCTATTTTAAAATGTGTTTAGAATTATTGTTAATTATTATTAATAATTGTATTAATAATTTCATACCAGTCTTGTTATTGTTAACAAAAACTATTACAAATCTTTTTTGTTAATGGAAATAAAGCTGTAATAAAATATAAATATTAGATGAAAAAATTAAGAAACTTAAAAATGTTGCATTGGCAACTAAGTGAAAAAGTTTAAGTTAAGTTTAGGTTAAAACTGAAAAAGATATAAATTAAAGCTAAATATAAAAAATATATATAAAAAAACGAATTAAAAATGACAAAAGCACATAAAAGTAAGATGCTTTATTGTCATTGCGCAAAGTACAACAAAATGTAGAATGGCAGCTTTTCAGAAAGCAACATCTAAAAATACATATGTACACACATAAAAATATATTTCTGTAATTAAGAAAATTACTAAAAATAAAATTAAAATAACTGAAGTTAACTGAAAATATAAAAAAAATAATTCAAAATATTAATAAATACTATAATAATATAGCAATAATACTAAATTATGTTGATATATACAATTATTATTTTATATATAATTACACACACACTTATATGTATATATGTGTGTGTGTGTGTTATATACATACACACGCATATATATAAATTTTTATTCTTTTTCAGCGCCATGAAAAGACCTCGCTGTGGAGTTCCTGACCGTTTTGAGGAGTCAACAGAGGGAGGTACTCGCCGCAAGCGGTACGCACTTACTGGCCACAAGTGGGATCAGGACAGGCTGACTTACAGGTGAATTAAACCTCAATACTACGAAAACAAATTCAGTTTACATTGATCAAGTTAATGATCATCAAGTTAATGATGAGAAAAAAAGAATCTTTATTTCCTGCCCAAGCATTCAGAACCACTCACCCAAAGTGGGCCAGGAGCAGACCTACGAGGCTATTCGCAAAGCCTTCCAGGTTTGGGAGAAAGTAACGCCTCTGAGGTTCGAGGAGGTCCCGTATCATGAGATAAAGAATGGCAGTGAGGGGCCTGACATAATACTACTGTTTGCCTCTGGATATCATGGCGATATGTCTCTCTTTGATGGGGAAGGAGGCTCTCTGGCACATGCCTTTTTCCCCGGTCCTGGAATGGGAGGAGACACACATTTCGATATAGACGAGCCATGGACCTTGAACCAACGGGAGAGCTCAGGTGTGAACAATTTTCTGCAGTCTTTTTCCTACTTCAAAGTAAATTCACATTTTTACTGTGTATTAGCTTAGCGTTTACTTTCCCACAGAGAATGTGTGGATGTTAGCAGCATTTAAATGTCTATGAACTGTTCAGAAACAGATTTAACCTTTTTTTTTTTTTTCTTAGTTTATAGTTTAGTCATTTAATTAGCTGTTTTTGTTTGGTTGTAGGCGTCGACTTGTTTCTGGTTGCAGTTCACGAGTTGGGTCATGCGCTGGGGTTGGAGCACTCCAACAACCCTTCTGCCATCATGGCGCCTTTCTACCAGTGGATGGACACGGATAGCTTCTCATTGACTGAAGATGATATAAATGGCATTCATCAGATCTATGGTAAGCTAGTCTGAGATATTTCCTGTTTAGTTAATTTACCTTACTGTCAATTATAGTTAGTTAAATTAGGTCCATTATATGAATTTGCATGTGTTGTATGGATTTTACACAACAGTTAACTTACTTCTGAGACACAATATTGGAAATTACTTTGTCTATTTTTGTTCCACCATCGGAAATAGTTCCAAACAAAGCCGTAATGTTGCATGTCTGCGAGTAACACACAGTAGTGGTTTGTTGTTCCTAAATGAGTGAATGATTCAGTAATATCAGTTGTTTCTTTTCTGGAAGAATCAGTGGTTTTTAATGGCTTTGTTAACTGAATTGATTCAGTGATTCGCTCAAAAAGACAATCACTGGTTTCCTTCCTGGTTGAATCAGTGTTTTTTTAATTAATCAGTTAATTGAATGATTCACTCATTACGACAGTCACTTGTTTAATTCCTGAATGAATCAGCATTTTTTAAAATTAATCAGTTAACTGAATGATTCAATGATTCACTCATAAACACAATCGCGTTTCGTTCCTGTTTTAATCAATGTTTTTTTTTTTTTTATGAATCGATTAATTGAATGATTCAGTCATTAAGACGGTCACTTGTTTCATTCCTGAATGAATCAATGTTTTTTAATTAATCTGTTAACTGATTTAGAGTCACAATAAATCCCCACCACTAACACAGTCAAGCAACCCAGAATTATAAAAACGGTGAAATATCCCAGTGTTATTAGACTAAATAACAGCACTCTTGGAATGCCACATTCATTTTCAGTGTCAGTGTGAATCCCCCTTTATGCAAAATTCCAGATGACACTTTTGCGTTTGAAAATGTGTATCTGATGCAACTGTGAATTCTTACACGCAGATCAGTCATTATCCAATGATTTCTTTAGGCTTTGCCACATTTATGATACAGTTGTCATCCACACTCTGCTGTTTTATGTGCTTGAGACTTCAGTCCAGTTGCATTGAGTTCTGCATCAATGAATTTCTCAGTGTATGTGTCTTTTTTTGAGTCTGTTTTCTCCATTTGAAAGCCTTCCACTGCTGGCTGAATAAGCCTCATGGGCCTTCTGGTGCTGGATGGAAAAGTGACACGTTCTGTGTCAATGCGGTATGTGTGGTAAAGAGGATGATTAGCTAAGTGTGAAAATACATTATGGTTTGGTATTTACAGGACCTCCAGAGACTGTCACCACTCAAGCACCTCCCACCACAACCCTGTTTACAACCACTGCCGAGCCGGAGCCCACCACTACAGTGGCCCAACCGAAAACAACCAGAGCCTCGCTGCAGCCCACCAAGCCCTGGGTGCCTCCGGTCCAGCCCACCAGGAGGTCCCATAGACCCCAGCCCACAGCTCACTCAGATCAGGATGCACCTGACATCTGCGAGGGGAACTTTGACACAGTGACCGTGCTAAGAGGGGAGATATTTGTGTTCAAGGTTAGAAACAGTGACCTTCAGTAAGTGCAGTTACATTGTATATAGTGGTTATTCATAAAAAGCCCACTTAGAACACCTTAGTAACTGCATAAATATGTACTAAACTACAAGCAGTGTATTTTGTTTGTTTTTGCCCATCATTTGATTCAGGTGTCTGCAAGATGGTCGAATGTTTCTGACAAAATATAAATCTCCACACATCTTTGTCAAGTGTTATAATTAAATGAATGTTGTTATTGTTTGTCAGGGTCGTTGGTTCTGGAGGGTTAGGAGGAACCGGGTTCTGGATAATTACCCAATGCCAATCTCCTTCTTCTGGATGGGGCTTCCAGAGGACATAGATGCTGCCTATGAACGGCATGATGGGAAATTTGTATTCTTTAAAGGTCTGAGTCATATATTTAAAGGGGTCATATGATGCAATTTCAAGTTTTGCTTTCTCTTTG